CCTCGGTCTCAGACTCTGCTCCAGACTCGGGTTGTTTTCTTCCAAAGCTCAGATCCTGGCGCAGGACCGAGTACGTTTCAGACATTCCTGACGCTTCTGTCTCAGCGACCTGAAAAGATAAGCAGTCCTCGAACCTGACTGACTGAGTGGCTACAGCATTTAGTACTGAAGCAGTACTTTCGTTTTTACTTCAATGGGCATCTACGGCAAAGTATAGGAAACCTTCGACCCGACAAAACAAAAATAGCTAATAAATAGGTCACTTTTAATGTAAAGACTAAAGGGACGCTCTTACGCCTATATTTCAGAGACGGATAGCCAGTCGAGAAGAGCAAGTACTCCTTCGAAATTATATTGTACTCTTAAGTAGTGAGCTTTGTTCCTCCTAGCCTCTTCACTTGGTGCTTACGTAAAGGCAATGATGACCGCATTACGCCACCCGTTCTCAACATTTGCGCTGCCAAGAGCGACAAACGAACATGCATACCGTCGCCTGATGAAGAGAAGTACAGCGTAGGATGCACAGTCCTGAACCGCTGGAGTTGCTTAGCTGCGAAAGCCTGCAATCAACCCCTAAACGGTCGGCTAATGAGGCAGTGAACTTTCAAGATGGCTGAGTTTAGGGGCAACACTAAACCCTCCTCCGTCTGGAGCAAGTCACAACCTCTTCAGCATTCTATGAATTCTATTCAATAAAGCGAGCCGTAAACTCGTAAAGAAGTCATTTGGAGAATAATCATTAAGTCGTTGGTTAATCACTCCAATCTGATACATCCGGTCAAGGTACGTTTCCGTCGGTTGCCTGACGAGCGCATGTGACACGCCGCATTTGTGACGGGTGCCGGTCGAAGACAATACGACGACACGACGTCGTCGAACGACCATCTGTTAGAGACGAGAACGTCGACCGAACCGAAACACGTGGCGGATCGTCGGCGAGTGAACGAACGTAAGTACGGATGGACGGGGACAATGGTGAGCAACGCTGACGGCGACGGTCGAGATTGTGCAAGGGGTCGGCGAAGCGCCGGGGCGTCAGCCATCTCAGAGGAAGTGACTCCGAACGCGACAACTGCAAAGAGAGCCGCACGTGGCCGAGGTGTAATTGACGTTGACGGTCAGCGGACCTGAGGAGTTGCATCGAAAGCGACTGAAGCGCTGGGCGTCCAATCAAAGCTGACGACCGCAACACGACCGTTTGTCGGCGATGTCAGTAATCACCGTAATTGGTAAGACAGCGTCAACTCGATTAGGACGGTGCCTTTGAACCTTCGCCGTTCCCTGTTCAACCGGGGACCAGATGCAGTGTTCCTGACGCGCTGCGATGGGACGTAGTCTAGAAACGAGGTCATTCCTCTGTCTTACCTGCCGGCTACCTGCCAACTGCTTCGCGTCCAAACTTGAGTGACATCTCGTAGAGCAGCAGCAAACTCGCCCGCATTCACCTGCCTCGTACAGCAAAGACACCTTGAAAGAAAAAGTGGACTAAAGACCACGCTGTACTGACTGACCTAGTATTTTTCATAAGCTTCATTTGGAATATTCCCAAGGCCAGAAAACATTACTAACCCTAAGCAATTTGTGCTTTTATGGTTTCAAACAAATGAATGGGTTACCTCGTTAGGTAAACCTGACTCAGCCATCGAACTGACAAACAAACAATTTGCATTTACCCATAGAATGAATGAGCATTTTACGGTAAGAATGGA